ATTAATTAATTATTTTTTAAGTTTACTTTATTTTATTTATAACTATTAATATAACTGTTTATAATATTTTTAGTATTTATAATATTTTATTTACTTATATTAATAATACTAAAATATAACTATTATATAAAAAATTAGTTAAAAAAGAATAATAAAATTAGTACTTAAATATATATATAATAAGTTAACAAAGTACTATAAAAAAACTAATAATATTTTTAATAATCTCTATATAATTAGAATTATTTTTAAACCTTAGAATAAGCTGGAGTTTTTTTAATACTTAAATAAAAAAAATTAGGCCCTATAATATAGATAATTACTAAAAATCTATATTAAACCTTATTATAAATACTATACTAGAATATAAACTATATTAAATACTTAAATAATAAATAATATTTTAAAAATTAATATATTTATTAAATCTGCTATATCTTTTTAAATATAATCTTAAATTTTAAATAAAAGTATATAGTATTTTAAAAGCAGTAAGTTATATTCTATAATTTTTATAGTTAAATTTAATTAATAATATTAGATATAATTTAATTAATACTACTGGTCTTTTAAAAATATACTAAACTAAATATTTAATTTTTATAAATTTAGTATAAAATATTTTAATAATTTTAGCTAATAGCTTTAAAGTAAAACAGCTGTTTAACTCCGCCTAGAATATATACTATTATTAATAAAAATTATTAAAGCTATAAACTATATAAAACTTAATAATATTTATATATATAATATAGTTTAATATTAAATTAGAATAGCTTACTTTTATAAAAAAGTACCTCTCTATATAAAAAAAGTATTTTAAAAAAAAGCAGAATAATACTAAGCAGAAAAAAAATAAATATAATTTTATTAATAAAAAAATATAGGTTTAAACTATTAGAATATAAATACTTCTAACACAGCTTTTTAAAAGCTAAGTTTATATATACTAAAAAAAAGGTTGCTAATATAAAAATTTAGTTAAAAAAAACTAAATAATAATAAGATTTTTTTTAATATTAGCTATTTATATAATAATTCTGGAACCTAGCAGCATTTATCTAGGCATATTTTAAAAAGATTAGAATAAAATAAAATTTTTATATATATCTAAAAAACTAAAACTTTTAGTATAAACTAAAAAAAAATATTCTTTATTTTTAATCTATTATAAAATTAAGTAAAAAGTAGAACAGATTTTAAAAAATAAAAAAACAGCCTAGGCTTTTAAATAAGAAGAATAATAATTATTAAAACCAGTATTATATAATATAGAAAATGAACTAGTAAAATTAGAATATAAAAAATATAGACTAGCTATATATAATTTATATATTTTACAGGTATAAGACTGTTTATTTTATTTATAAAACTGCAGGACTGTACTAAACTGCAGTAGTATAGTCTTTAATAATCTAAAACCGCCCGGCGGTTCTAGGACTCAGGACCAAAGACCGATGCGGTCCGGTCTGGTGCAGTCCGGTCCTTGGTCTTTGCGGTCTTTTCCGAGGCCTAGAGAAGCAGAGCGAGTCTAAGCAATTGTTGGTGAAATAAGAGAGGAGTGCGGGCTATTGCAGATGCAAAGGGAAGGGCCCCTGCAGGTGTCCTATACTATGTAAGTTATGCGAAGTAGATTTATAGTGTCTTGTAAGCAGTGTACCTACTATCTCAAGCCTCGACCAAACCAACTATAAGATTTGTAGAGCAGAGCTGGCTTGAGGTATAAGTACAAGATATCCCTTTGGAAAGAATTTGTAATGTGTAGTGAGTGTCTGCATATACGATGCTCCAAGTTCACATAAGAAAGAGATTGACGGTATCCAGAAAAAAGTCTACACTAAACCCAGACTTCTGGGAACTACAGTCTACAGGCGATGAGAATAACCAGTACATCTCTACTCACAGGATGACCCAAGCTGAAATCGAACACAATAAACTCAGGGCTCTTTGAAAAGGGCAGAATTGATTTTCTTTACACATTACGACATTGCACGTAGGGCTAGTGGCCCGCAATGACGGATGACATCATAGGCAAAAGGTGCCACCTTGTAGGTGCTCGGAAATGAAGTAATCCATCGGAGAGTCCTCGCAATGACAACATACCATGTGTGACTAGCTGTGGTGATGAATCAAGATAGCCATCAAGCCCGCAAGTCCTTGACCCTGATTGGCTTTGGTAATGCTCGTCCAACGAAAGTGTCAAATTTGGATGGTGATTGACGCGCCTCCCCGAACCTTGACGAAGAACTGATAGTCATAGTAATTTACAAGTTGGGGTCGGGAATCCTTGCAGAGAATTCCCGGAGAGCCGGCTTATTCTACGTCATTAAGATCATAAGAAGGCACTCCGAGTCTATATAAACGGATGATGGCCTCTCTCAAGAATTTCTAGCTAAATATTACCCGAGTAACAATACCTGAAATCTTGTCTGCTATTCACGTTTTACTTGTCATTCTATCCATTGCATCTACATACTTACAGCAACCCACCATGTCCAACATTATGAACCCCATTGATGACCCATCGTACAACGTTGACGCGACTGAGGAAGCCTTCGGAACCAACAGCATGGAGTCAAACCACAGTGCCGGGTCCTTGGGACACGCCAATGCCAGCCGCAATCCTTACAACAGCAGCTCTCAGCCCATGGCCTTCGACAAGCCACAGGCGGGTAGTATGGACGGCGTTCACCCCATGGCGGGTACGATTAACTCATACAACGCCTTCGGCGCCTCGACTGCTCGGCCATCGAGCCAAGAAATGTCTAATACAAACACTGCATCGCCCAATGCAACCTTTGGGCCAAAGACCGGTCAAGGCTTTCAGGAAAACATCCCACATCATTCGGCACCACATGGCACTATCAGCCCATCGACGAATCTCACTAGCGGAGCCACTCAATCCACCTCTACGAATAGGATGCCATCCCCGACAAGCCCTCTGGGATCCTTGGCAGAGGATGCCGATACTGCGCGTGCGACGGCCAATCGTGGCAGTGTCCAGGCGGCGCAATACAGTACTGGTCCGTCCGCGGAGATCAACGATGGAGGTCGTCGTACCTCGGACCAACTATCACCTTCGAAAAAGCATCATCTAGAACACATGTCGAGGAACACTGATAGCCCACGAGCGGAGCCGAATGGTAGCAGTACCCAGGCGGGACAGCTGGGATACCACAAGCCCGTACCAGATGATGGTACCGCCGGCCTCAAGTCGGGAAACAGTGCCTCGCGCGGATCCCATAGTGGCACCGAGTCGCAGAAGCACGATGCAACTGGTGATGCAGCAAACGCATCAGCAGGGAACAAGAAAGACCGCATGGAAGGGACGCTAGACAGTGACATCAACGGAGAGAAAGTGAACGGCATTGCTGGTGTGATTCCCATCTCTGGCAATGCTGGCCCGACTACCACAAAGACATTCGACCCACATGCCACAGTGGGTGGCGGTAGCCGCCACAACATCGACACTCGGTCCTCAACTGCTGCAGAGCCAGGGATTGGCAAGATTGAACCCAGTCAAGACAATCGCGCTCACTCTTCCGACATTGCTGGTAGCAGCTACAACACTCGGGGCAATGGTTCCGTGCAGAGTAAGACAGAACCCCTTGACAGCCAAAGCCCGGGAAAGACTAGTGCCGGTATGACGTCGGGCTTGGAGGGTTCTGCGTCTCTGGGGTCTCAGCGAGTTGCATAGATGGAATAGTCATCAGCGCGACGAGTAAAGAAGAATTTTGAGATCCCAATACATATTACGAATAGAAATATCTACAAATGATTAGTGAGACCTTACACACTCCCGGACGTGAGAAGCTTGAAATTGTTGGAGGTATTGTATAGTTAGGGTGCTGTGGGCCCTTGTTTTGTGGATACGTACTACGGAAGGATATAGTGGCCACGATATAGTGGCCACTCTGTAAAAACAAATACGCCGGCAAATTAATAAGTAGTAAGAAAATCAACACTATAGCAACCCCAACAACCCTAATAAAAATAATAAGAGAGATTCTCTAATAAAGAAGTCTTATAACAATATCTTCAGCCTCTAAAAACCCTAAAGATCCTAATGTAAAAGGGGTTGTTATAATCACGTGATTAAATGGCTCTAAGAGGATTATAAGGTCCTTAGAAGAAGAGATAAGCTGCAGGGGAGGAGGAAGAGGGTAAGGCAGGTAGGTAAATAGGCAGGAGTTACAGAGAGTCTTAGGCGGTTAATCTTAGGCAGTTAATACTGCAGTAAGGATACTTAGTAAGGAAATTTATTTTGTAGAGTGGCCACTATATCCTTCTGTATACGTACTGTATAGTATGTAGTTTGAAGTTTCCGTATCTGTATTTCGTACTGTGCAACCTTGAATCAAACCCCCGCAATGACTCTGAGAGACGGATACTACCCCGCATGATAACTACTTACTGAGTATTTACAAGCATTTACGTAGCTACCTAGAACTTTAAGTATTAACTTAGGTGGATACGGTGACTGTTAAGCGCCATCATCAATAACAAGCATCTACAATCTGGAGTGGATCTGTGCTTGTCAACACTATGCTTCAGTAACTACATAGCACCGTACCTTTATAGGTTTGTGAAAGGTTGGCTGTTAATGATATTCTATCTTAAGTCAAGTTGGGACGTTAGGACTACTAGCCAGTCTTCTGTTGCTTCTTAGTCCACCTCTCAAAACCGAGGTGAGAGGCCACATTCTCATCGGATTGGCAGGGTATACGTGTGCAAATACGAAGCTAAACGTACCAAATGTTGCCTGCATCGCTGTCCATCAAACCGAGGACCGACAGGCTCATTACATATGCATCTTATTAACCGACAGCTAATGAAATGAACTTATTGGTTCAAGGCTCCGGTTGCTGTGGGCATTGTTTCTTCGCATCTTGCGGGGAAATGGGGGAAGAGGGGCATCTTACCATGTGGTCGGAGCATTTAGTCTTGTCATAATATGGGCCAACATCGCCCCCTTCTCTGTAATATATCTACGCAGTAAGCTACTAAGGAGTATCTCCGGACACCTGATTGATCGTCTCCGAATCATATGCGTCCGGATTGAAACTAGTATGGACTAGTAAGCGAATGGTTAACGTGCGCTCATTCCACTTGATTTGGGGGGTATTATTCGGCCTCTGCAGCCGGAGCACTTGATAATTTTCGTAAGTGATCAGTTAACTACCTCGACTCTGTCTCCCTGACAGTAGCATGGGGAGTTCATGAGTATGGGTTAGGACACGCCTCGTCCTTTCGAGAAACCTCCATCCGACGATTTATCTAGTGCAACCGTGGCCGCCATTTCTCTCGATATTACGCAGACTCGAGTTTGTTCTGCTTCTCCAGCGCAAGCATCCTTCGGCATCTTACGGTCTCCTAGAGCAACTGGTTCGACCTCGAAATAACTCACCGGGCATTCAGTCATGTCTGCTCATGAGATGGAGGAGGCGGTCGATGCCCCCTTAACCCGCAAACGATATCATGCTGAAGCAGTTGATTATCCTCGACGACGCGCGACTGTCGCAGTATGTTTCGTCTTTTTGTTTGTTTGTTTGTTTCTACTCTCTCCTTTTCCTTTGGTATATGATGCTATTGCCTCGTCAAGATTGTCCGAGGTTGGTTGAATGAGTGCTTTTCTTGGCGAACATAGTACCCCGTTATGTGCATAGTTGACGGCGGTAATAGTGTCAGATCTGTCGTCTACGCAAAACAAGATGCAATGGCGCACGCCCGAGATGCCAGCTCTGTATCGATCTTGATGCGGAGTGTATTTATCGAGAGCCGGGCATCAAGCTAGATGCTGGGGACAAGTTAATCATTGAGAAGCTAGACAGAATTGAGGGCTTGTTACGTTCGAAGCTGGCTGTTGCAGCCAGTAATTCACCCCTGTCTTCAACAACAACTGAGACTGTCAATGATCCCGTAGGTAACGACGATTCCGCCGTTAACATGACAGAGAACACCACAGTGTCATCCAGAACATCGGTTGTCGGGCTTGGATCCTGGGCTAACCCACCAACGAACATCTCAACAATGCCTAAGCTTCACACAACGCCAGCCTTGAATCTATTACAGTGGCCTTTCATCCGAGATCTTGTTGCTGCACCTTACGATCCTCACACCCTACTACAACTAGAAATGGCTCGTGAGCCACTTCGGATCCCAAACTATATTGGCCTCGATCTATCCAACGCTGTCGCGCATGCTCGGGCTTTTTTTTCGCGGGTTAATGTCTGGTACGCCTGCGTTAACCCATATACCTGGCCTCGTTACTATGACATAGCTATCTCATCTAGCTTTCAGGAGGGGGCTGAGAGCTGTATCGTTCTTTTGGTCCTTGCACTAGGGTGTGCAAGTCAATATGGAAGCATATCAAGTCTTTCACCCGAGGCAGACCCGCCAGGGCTGCCATATTTCGTCGCTGCATGGGGCCTTTTGCCCAACGTTACAATGCGCAATTCTGTTCTCGCTGCCCAATGCAATATTCTCGCTTCTGCCTATCTATTCTACTTGGTAAGACCATTGGAGGCCTGGACACTACTTTCGAGTGCTAGCCTGAAGCTACAGCTGCTATTTGGCAATCCGTCCCGTGTTTCTGCTCAATGGAGGGAATTAAGCACCAGACTATACTGGAATGCCCTTCTATACGAAAGCGATCTACTGGCCGAACTAGACCTTCCACACTCAGGGATTGTGCACTATGAAGAGCTTGTTGATCTTCCAGGTGGCTTTGAACCAGAGGATGACGAAGATGACGATCAGAGCAGCACACCCCGGGAAAATCTCGTTGTAGATGCGGTGGTAGGGCACGACGAGCTCTGGTACTTCTTGGCTGAAATAGCTCTGAGAAGGCTTCTTAACCGTGTCAGTCATGTTATTTATCAGAAGGATAACTCTCTGACCCTTGCATCTCTTGGGCCGATTGCCTCCGAGCTGGATTTTCAGCTTTCGCAGTGGTACGAAGGGCTTCCCCAAGCTGTTCGATTCCCTCTTTCCTCTCACCAAACTTCGAACTCTATCCAGACCGTTCTGAGACTTCGGTATTTTGCATGTCGCACGATCATCTACCGTCCCTACATTCTGGCGGTACTTCAGCATGAACAAACATCCGCAGACCCAATGGTCAGAGAATGTTGTCGGCGGTGCTTAGATGCGACATTGAATCAGCTTGATCACATTAGTCGCCACCGTGAGGGCCATCTCCCCTACCTCTGGCAAGGTGCCCTCTCTATGGTTTCACAGACGTTGTTGATTATGGGGTCAACCATGTCTCCGGCGCTTTCAGTACTCCTACCTTCAGCGGCCCGAGTGAATGCAATTATCAGCGGTGTCATAGAGGAAGTTAATCGATATGCGCACCTTGCTCCAAGCCTCAAGCTCTCGGCGGAGATTATACGTGACGCCGAGAAAAAACGGCAAATAAGCCTTAGGTCGGTGGCTAAGAAAATCTAGATACATGGTCTTTAAGGTTAGCATGGGTTCCAGGACTAATTGTAACAAGACTCCTATGCCAGCCCGGAGGCATGTTCCAGGCGAGAAGTGAACAGCAGGTGTGAGACCCTTCCTACGATGCATTTGAAAATGTGATATGAGACGAAGCATGACGATTTGCTGTTTTTTGCATTATATATCAGGTTTGTGATGCCACAGACCAATCTATCACCTAACAAAGAGACTCCAATATAAGTTGAAAATAGTGACAGATACATGAAACAGGGTATTATCAGGCATTTTTGAAATCAGATCAAAACCCATTCACTGCCTCTTTTGATAAATTTATCAAGCATCAATCCGATATCATTGAGAGCGAAGCGACAGATGTAGAAACCAAAGAACTCTGCAGCATGGCGGGTGCTTAACTCAAGACCAACAAGAGTGGGAGACGAGTGCTTCAGACCGGGATCTTCGACCTGCTGGGCGATTTGATCTAGACGTTCCGCAACTTAGTGTTCAAGCACAAGGCATGACCCCAAACAGTAACGAAATTGACTCACCTAAAACCTGGACGGCATCACAAAGCCGGGCCAGAGCTCCCATGTAATTACTGGCTCCGTTAAGCTGTAGTTGTGAGATGTTGCGCTTGGCGTGTTGAGAAACAGGCACTGAAGTCATCGGGACAGTATTACTAGTAGAGAGGTCCTTGCTTGAGTCTTTCGATGCGGATGCTGAGGACGCCATAGCAAAGCCGGCATTTTTAGAACGTAGTTTGCGCCACGATGTCAGATAGGACTTGCTGGGACCGGTCGACGGCTTGGCGATCAGATTATCAACATTCGTTGTATCGTCATAGGACAGGTTAGACTTTAGGAAAGCCATAGCTCCTTGAACGCCAACTTCACTTCCAACTTTCTTTGAAAGCAACATCTGCACCTGGTCAAGTACACTTTCCAATGACTGCATTTCCTCTAGAACTGCGTCGGCATCATAAGTATCAACTTGGGCCAGTTTCAACAAGGCAGCCGTCAACAAATCGCAACTTGATACTTTTTCCTCAATAGCTTTGATTTTCACGTTTTTAACGCGCCAGACATCCCGTGGGACGAAAAGCTTCGTAGATAGGTAGCCACCACGTGGATGCGCCATAGTTTGATAGATGCAACGCATGAGCCAGAATGGTCGTAGAAGGAAGGGTTCAGGGCATGGCTCCAAGGGAAGTGGAGGATCAGTAGCCATCACATTCGGGGATCCGGGACTTGTTGGAGAATGGATGTTTGTGTCAAATAAATTAAGACCACCGCTTGGTGGGCCATTTATAGCAATGTTAGTTCCGGTTGGTGTAGGCAGGATGGGTAGAGACGCAGCCATCGGCCCTTTCTGGGCTTCTGACACAAGAAAAGCATTATTCGATGGAGTTTTAGGCGACTCAGAGAGCATTTCTGTCCCCGATGCTGATATTTTTCGCGTCCGGAAAGGGGTATATAATTTGCCCAGACTGTCTGGCGCCGATGGCACTTTACCGATTGGTCGAGTCGGAGAAGGAAGTTTCGCATGCCAGGCGTTACCGCTGTCTTGGGTCTTTCCAGCAGTTACATGTGCTAGCATGTCCTCAGTAAAAGAACCGACTGACACATTACGCCTTTTAGCTTGTATGATTGATCGTAAGCCAGAAGCGGAACCTGGGGCATTGTGCGAGAAATTACTGTTTCTCAGCAGTTGCTCATCCTTGGGAGCTGTTTCCTGGGGAGGGACAAATGGATCTGGCGGCTGGATTGATGCCACCTTCAAGCGAGCGTCGAAGTGAGGCTTTGTCTCGATTTTCAGCTCGGTAGTATGCTGGCCTGACAACCTTCGTGCTCGAACACTTGATCCTACCATGGAACCAGATGTCGGCTTGTTGATCGAAGCTACGAGGCTGTGTTCTGGCTGAGTGAAGGTGTTGGACTCAACTCCTATGGCTTCGGTTGAGGCATATGATTTCAAGTCCACAGGTCCATGGTTAGGAGCTAACCCGATGCTCTCTCGCGATCGACCGAGTTGGCTGCTTGAGACTGGCTGCCGAGGCAGGGCGGATTTAGACTGAACCCCGAATTCGAATTCATCCATGATATAGCCTCTCGTCATTTCCTCTAGTAAGCGCTCCTCTTCCTCGGCTTCATCATCCACATACTCCTTTGCAGGACCAGCAAAACTGTCAAGAGGTGCCTCGTTATAGGTTAGAAGCGGTTCCTGGATTTCGAGAACCTCCCCTTTTTCGGTTCCAGATTCTCCGACGTGATGATTCCCCAAGTCGACAGTTTCCCGAGGGCTTTGGGCCACACCACTGTTGTGGTCGTTTAGTCCAGTTGACAGCTGTAAGTCCTCATCATAGGCGGCTTCGACGGCTGCATCCAGGGCTGCATCAAATTCAGCTTCGGTACCATGAATTGATTGATGACCTGTTCTGCGACGTAGGTAGAGAGATGACGAAGTGGAACGAATAGAAGCGGGCGAAGAAGCACCAGACTCGTCGATAGTATCAAGCCATGATGTTGTTTCGTGAACACCCTTACCTTGAGTACTCAACAGAGGCATCTCAGATAACGGCGGTTCAGCAGATGGTTGACCTAGACTAGCTTCTGGTGTAGGCTCGTTGTAAGTAATCAAGCCTCCAATGTGCTCGTCAGATCGCTGAGAAGCTGCGTAAGACATTTTTCCTCTTCGTTCCAATGCCTGATTTATCCAGTCATGGTCAGGAGCAGTAACTATTTTATCATTATCATCATCACCATCAATAATCGCAGATGGCAGAAGCAGCAGCTGCCGCGGGGAGAGTTGACCGGATGGCATCGTTTCTTTCATTCCAAGGATCAAATGCGCATCGGAACCGTGCTGTGAGCGATTCAGGTCCCCCTCTTTGAATGATGTATGTCTGTTCTCCTGCGATGGATATTCCACGTAGGACTCTTCACTGCGGGGCCGCTCAGGGAGGGCTTTACTATCCATGTTCCGGATTGAAAAGTCCATACGTTGGAGCTCGTTTACACGAATCATATAGGTATCACGCTTTTCTTCGGCTCAGCCCGCAGTACTAATTTACGTATCTGCTGCAGGAAAACTCACTATTTCTTGAAGTTTTAGCTTCTCATCTTCGCCCCCATCGCTTCGATCCATTACCAACTGAAGTAATTGACAAGCATCGTTGTACGCTTCCATCGCTCCTTCAAAATTCGCGGCGTTGTCAAGTAAGACGGCAGTGTTCGCTTTCTGCAGCGCTTTTGAAAGCATTGCTTTCTGGGACTGGCCACGTTTTCTTCGTTCATAGGTCTTGCCTTTCATAAGAGACAATTCTGAATCTGTATGAGCAGGCATGCCTAAGCCTTGAGTGCGAGGACTGTCTGATTCAGACATAAGGTGAGTGGAATGATCTTCGGGCTCCAGCCCCCTATTCTCAGCGTATTGAATGCGTCTCTCAGTCCACGGGTTCTGGAACAGACTAGGAAGAGGCTGAGTAGTTCGCGACACTTGTGCATCATTGTGCGGCGAGGTTGCATTTCTAGCGCCCGAGGCGAATGAAACCACCTCATTTGCAGTAAACGCCAGATGTTCATTGGGATCTTGATGTACAGATTCTCGGAGGGAAGGAGGTCCACAGGAAGCTTCGTGATCTGCAGGTGCGAATGGTATTCGTGAAGGATTCGACCCCACTTTTTTGCTTGGACACATTTGATCGCCCAACAAATCGTTGTTTGTGAAGAACGCTTTATGCGAGTTTTTGCTAGATGTTGTCGACTGGGACCAGCGATTAAGACTCCCGAGTCCTTCGTGAATGTTATTCTCTCCGAGGTCGTTGTCGGTTGCTATATCAATATCTGCTGTAGCCGTCATTGCTGCGGATGTTTTTAGACTGGGGTTGGACCTGCGATTTGTGGGATACAAGCCGTGCGAAAAGCATTTGTTGCTGTCTGGATTGAGAGGGTGTGAGCCTAGAAAATTGGGCATTAGTCCTGAGTCATGCTCTGCTGGGAGTTTGAAGAACATGGTGCAACAGTGCTGGGCAACACTAGCAGTGAACCCTAGGATGGCAGCAGTACTTAAATGGATGTTCTCTTTAAATTTTCATGTATTCAAGCTTCAACAAGTACCTTTCGACTTTTCAAGTCAATGCAGTGTGGTTGCAAGGGTTGCTGAAACAGGCAAGTAGCGTTTTGTTTGATGTAAATGCAGATTTGTTGCAAAGAGTGGCACTGGTAGTGGTAAGCGATTAGGAAATGATTCATGCTTTGAGATTACACAAGCAACAAAGATGTGAAGGGTGCGACCTCGTGGCCTGGTTGGGCAAAGTAAAAAAAGCTGTTCTGGCTCACAGCTTGAGCTTCAAAATGAGTAAAGCCCTTTGAGTAGATGCACTGTTATTGAGATTTGCCGCAGACGACACTCCTGCCGGTGCATATGAGGCAAGCTAAACGCCAAGTGAGCAATTTCAGCACACCTAGTGGCAATGCGCTTGCGATGTGCCAATCTAGTATGCAGATTGGCCAATCAGTTTTGTGAACAGAGCAACAGGTTTTTCCAGTGCTTGAATAATAAAACGGGACTAGGACGTGTGGTGCTGGTGTTATTCTGATAGGCGATATAGCTCTCAGGGGCGTTTGCGGAGATCCTTTGATAAGGCCCGGGGGTTACTGACACTGGACAGGGGTAGACTCAGCAGGGGTTACTAGCTCGAATCTCGTGGCGGGATTATGTGGGGCGGATACACGGAGTACTACTCATACTATTGGTACATGTACAGTACATGTACTCGGTACTCAATACATGTTTGACTACTTTCCATGTGGACCTCGAGATCTATTGTTTTTCTATGGGTCAATGAGCAACTCCAATCAACAACTTAGACTACCATAAGTACATACTCAGTACATGACTACTCGCAGACGGAGAATACGACCTTACTGGTTCAACCAGACACTGAATTCCTGATTTAAACCTAGAGATGCCATTATGCAGCGATAACGTTTGCAGGCTTCTCTGCC